TCACTCCGAATCTCGGAGATGCGGTCTAAAAGAAGTTTGTATTTTCACAGTCTGCCTCGAGGCGCGTTGGTACCTCGTGCAGCAACTGTCAAACAACGATGACGTCGCTGTGGCGACGCAACTCCATGGGCGAACCAGTTTGTAACGCTTGCGGTCTTTATTATAAATTGCACGGCGTCAACAGACCGCACACCATGAAAAAGGACAGCATCCAAACGCGGAAGAGAAAACCCAAGGGTGGCATGAAGTCCGCGGACACACCGATTTCCGGAACCGTCGCTCCCTGCACAAATAACAACAATAATAACAACTCCAACACTGCCACCACCACCACCAGCACCACCAACATCAACAACAACAACAACAACAACAATAACAATAACAACAGCTTGAAAATTGAACCAGGTTGGTGTGAATCGCTATAGTTTAGTTCGATAACGCGTGCAGTATATATGTTTGCACAACGATGATGCCACGATCGGACCTTTTCAGATACGTACGCTGATTTGCGGATGACCCACACCGTACCTCAGGTTTCTTACGGCAGCACGCTTTACGGTAGCCCTCAGCCTTCGGGTCGGATAGTTTCGTACCAGTCGACGACTTCTGGAATGTACTACGACATACTCGCTTCGCAGCAACAACAACATCAGCATCAGCATCAGCATCAGCATCAACACCAACACCAACACCAACATCCGCACCAACACCAGCACCAACACCAACACCAACATCAACACCAACAGCTTCTCGAGACCCATTCGCCAAAGGTGGAATGCCCGTCGCCGCCTTGCGTGAACCGGTCGCCCGATCATCATCAGCTCGCTTCTCCCCATATCGTGACCCTCGAGAATTCTTCTCCTAGCGCAACCACCACCAAAATGATCATCGACAACGGACATTTGGATAGACCTACGGTAGTTTCCATATCTTCGTAAGGGTTTTCGTTCCGCGAGATCCGCCGAACGCTGCGGAGAGATCGCTTGTCATCGATCTCTCTGTCGAGTCTCGCTATCGCGTTCGATTTTTAGGTGCGCGTCGTTATTTCTGCCTCGCATCCATTCAATCTCGTGGAGAGGGAAACTCGTGGTATCGCTTTACGATTGTAAATAACGGTGCTGCGAATCTTGCTCGAAGGTTCGATTCGTTTTCCTCGAAAATGTTGTAACGAAACTAAAACTGAAGCTGAAACTGACACCGAAACTCGAACGTTTCCTAATTGTTTAGAAGCGTTTGTAAGTCGCGAGTGCGAATGCGAGTACGAATGCGAGTACGAATGCGAGCACGAATGCGAGCACGAATGCGAGCACGAATGCGAGCACCAATGCGAGCACCAATGCGAGAATAACCGAGCGGGTCGACCTCGGCGAATATAACTCGAAGACGCGTTGGGCTCGCTTGATTCGTTTCGGAATGTTTGCGTGATTGGAGGCGTTCGGAGATCGAAGAAAGGACAAATGCACTCGGGTTCGTAGGATAAGTTTGGCCGATGAATAGCACGCGCAGGGATTCGAAGATACCTCGAGATCGCGCGTAAAACTTGCAAAGACTCGTTGTAAATACGAATAATCGCGTCGAGCGAGGACCGCGTGTACGCGGTCGAATTGTCTTCGTAATTGTCTTTCGCGCAGAAACAGAAACGTTCGACTTTGTGGCCGCCTCCAACATCGAACAGCTCGCGCGGCGTGGCCGCGACGGCGTACACCCTGGAAATAGTAGACGCTTCGTGTCCTTTGTAAATATAGACGATAGCGATCTAAATATTCAACTTAAATGTTAAGAATAATTAGTTTGATAAGTCGGTATGCTTGAAAAATAATAACTTTTACTGGCTTTATGGAACTATTCGGTGCGTCGTATCGCGCCTTTGGGAATTCGAACGCACGGTCGACGAACGTGCAACTCGCATATTTGTCGCGTACGTGTCGCGTAACTGTCGGATATCTTTGACGCGCCGATTCCATGGTGCCTCGCGTTTACGGTATCCATCGTTGATTCGCACGAAAGCGACGCGCAACGTCGGAATTTTGCGCATTTTTCGAGTGTGCTGTATCGAATCGGTTATTTTTCAATAAAAAGGGATATTTAAATAAAACTACGAAGAGCGATCGGATCGCGTTTCTTTGTTTCGACTTTTGACGGTCCGATCCGATAGGACTAGATGAAACTCGAGGCACGGAATTACGCGTAGCCGGGAGAACGCAAACGAACGAATGAACCCAACCAGCTGGCGAGGAGAGAAGTCAGCGATACGCGCGCAGGAAAACCGCATCCCTGTGTGCTTTCGACGATAACGCGATATCTCGGTTAATCTCGGTTAAAGGTTGGGACTAGCGAAGAACGCCTAGCATTGGCGTAGCGCTCCCTCCCGAAATTCAACGGACGGACTAACAGATCGAGAGAGATTCTAACGAACGGACGCATACACCGATCACGTACGGACGAATAGACGAGTAAACGAGTAAACGAATAAACGAATAGACGAATAGACGAATAGACGAACAGACAAAGAGACAACGAGATGAAACGAGAACGCGCAGGATCTTGAACGGTCTCGTCCTGCGTTGAACATCTTAAGTACATCTTACGACCGTGTCTCACCTGACCGCCTTATCGGCGGAATCCCGTGTGTGCTCTGTAAGTATGACGACACCATGTGCTCTCGAACCAAGCTTGGCTCCTCTCCCGCTGTTTTCAACGATAACGCGATGCGCGCGCTCTATATACACCTACTTACCTGTATATATATATACATGTATATGTATATATCTCGTTCGCCTCGGTAAAAAGTAAACCGATCCCTCGTCGGTGACGGTTCTCCCCTGCTCTCAGGAAAATATCCTCTAGGGACCGAGCAATAAAATCCGTGCCTCTCCTTCTCGGCATACCGGGGAACGCTAACGGGAGCAAAGATAAAAGAGGGGACGAGTTCGAGGAGAAGCAAGCGGAATATTCGGCCGCGAGAGGAAAGGCGAGGAAAGGAAAGTGAGAAGGACCTTGCTGGATTTAATCGCGAAGGGAAGAGAACGCTGGAGAATGCCGGAGAACGGAAGGGAAGGGAAGAACGAAGACGGGAGAGGAAACGAGAGGATGAGTAGGCATGGGAACGCGAGCAGATGCGGAACCGTTACGTGGGAAGGGTAGCTACCCCGACGAACAAGATGGCGGGCCTCGTCGAGGTACAACGCGGCGCGGTACCAAGATGGCGAGCTCTGAAAAGAAACAAGACAGAGATCGATAAATCGACGCGCGATACAAGCTCGTTCGTCTAATCGTGGTCGGTCAATATTTGACGCGGTCTCACGACTCGGAATCGAAGCTTCGGTGCGACGCTACCAGGCGGCAGGCGGCAGGCGGCAGGCGGCAGGCAGCAGCCGTTCCGAATCGTCGACGCACCTTGGCAGCGCACCTGTGTCAAGCCGCATCGCGCCTTGCCATCTTCGCTCTCGAATCGTAACGCAACTCGCGACGGTCTCGCGAGTCGACCGTCGACCGCCGACGCGATACAGATCAAAGCGGCCATTCGATATCTGCGGGGAACTTGGCGCTCTATGCGAAGAGTCCTCCCTTCGGGCACCAGTTACGGTAAGTCTCGAATTTTCGCTACTACCGGCCTTTCTCGGCTTTCGGGCACGCTCTCTTCCATTTCCGCCTATCCGTTGCGTCCGTTGCAACTTGGTCCCTCTACCATTCCATGTGCAGAACGGATGCCGAAGTTTCTCCGCGTATACGGTCGATCGGAGATTCGCGACGGATCAGAGCCGAAGCAGAAAAAGTGTGTCGGCTGTTTGCGCGCTATTGAAATATCTGAAAACGGAACTAGTCGAAGAGAAACAGAAGAAGGAGAAAAAATGAAAAAGCGAAACCTAACGAAAAGAGAAGGGAAAAGAAGAGAAGAGAAGAAAAGAGAAGGGAAGAGAAGAGAAGAGAAGAGAAGAGAAGAGAAGAGAAGAGAAGAGAAGAGAAGAGAAGAGAAGAGGCGCGGGACGGGACGAACCAAAGCGAATAGCGCATTATTTGGAAAGATGTAACCCGTTGATCCAGTAGCACGCGCACGCTCGAAACGAAACACTTGTGTTTTACGTTCGATTCGGTCGACAACACTTGTGGGCTGGCCGTAGATGGTCCGTGAGCAGTTTTTTCGATCGAGACTCGAGTCGAACTCGTCCGATTTTACGTCTACGTAAACCGATACGTTCCCTAATCGCGAAAGTGCTTTTACGCGTTCACCATTCGACTGTTAGAAACGAACTTTGCTCTTGTCCATAGGTTTAACACATCTTTGTTCTTCGTCAGCGTACAAGGCGATCTTCTTTCCAGTTCGTTTCTTTTCACCTGACTTCCGAGCTTCCACGATTTCCGTACTCGTCGAAAAGATCCGTCGACACTGCGCGACGTCGTGTGCGGAATTTCGAGTTTGTTCAGGCTTCGTTCCGGTTCTCGTTCCCGGTTCTGTTCGAACGCAGGCCAGTTGAAAGCGAATCGATGGTCTCGACGATGTCTGGCGCGAAACTATTCGATATCGAGTCGAGATACTCCAGGAGCGGAGATATTTTATTAATCGTTAAGCACATAGTCGCCGTAAGATAATGGAATAATATCGGGCACCGATGATAATACTGTTTGTCCCGGTGCTGGTTAATTATTCGGCTCGCGACCCGCCTAGTCGCTCGGTCGCCTAGTCGCCTAGCCTGCCCCCATCGCCGCGAATCCGAGATACGGTGTCTCGATACTTATTTTCATAGTTCTCGAGGATTCGAGGAGCAAACGGATTCCGCGGCTCGGCAGTTTCGCCGGTTTCCCCGATTCCGTTCTCTTTGGTTCCGTTGGTTTCGCGGTCTTGTTTACGCGAATATCGTCGTCGGCGGGTTCGTGTTTGTTCTCTCGAGTGGCTGTCAACGGGATTCAACAACGGTCGGATAGTTCGGTGGTTGTAAATTAAGTTAATTGCGCTGTAAAGATGGAGATCGCGTATACCGGTACGAGAGCGTCTTTCGCGAATCCCCTTATCGGACGGATGGCTGGGCGAGAGGGCGAGAGGGCGGGAGGGCGGCAGGACGACAGGGCGAGCGAGTAGACTCGCGACGGGTTCGCGGAGCGATTTGCTCGGAGCTGAAAGCAACGGGCGTGGTGTTGTCGTCGAAGAAACGATTCGGAACTATTACGCGAGTAATCGGAACGAGTTTCGGGAAGAACGGTTGCGTAACGCGACATCCCCTCGATTCTCGCGGACTCTCGACCGAACGGAAAGCAAACTCGCGACGACAGATACGGCGGGCGAACGTGATCCCGCGCACACCTACCTGCCGCCGAACCGAAATAAAAATTTCGTTTCCTCCGCGATGCGGCTGCGATAGCGTTCGAAGAGCCACGAACACGCTCGCGTTCACCTATACGAAGGCGTACACTCACACCGCAACGTCATCGCCAGGGATTTTCACTCGCGCCGATAAGGATTTCCTACTCGACTGATAAAGAAAATGACCTCGCCGCGTTCGCGATTCCATTCGGCCGTGACGCAACCCTTCGCGCGACGCGATTCTCCGTCGTTCGTCCAAAAACGTTTCGTTTCACTGACCAAACTGTGTCGCAAAGGCACGACCGAGAACCACCGGACCGCGGTTACCTGGTAGAAACGACCGCAGAGACGACGACGAATGACTCCTCGTTGTCGGATTTCAACCTAATCTTTTTCAGCACGGCTAATCCTCTTCGATGAAACCGTCGGGGATCGACGGGAGCGGAAGTCGGATGGTTCACTCACCGCGCGCTACGATTCGGAGCGTACCTCGAAAGACGCGACGGAACAAAGTCGGAAGAATGCGGAGCAGAACGGGCGAGGGCGGAACACATCCGATTACCGATTAACACGGTTCCGAAGCGAGATCACGACCGATTATACCTCGAGGCTCGTGTCGCGAGAGCATCGGCCGGTGTACCGTGCACACCGGACGAATCGACGGACGAATCGACGGACGAATCGACGGACGAATCGACGGACGAATCGATCCGATCCGTCGACCGATCTCGCGTTACCGGTGAAACTCACCCGCGAAACCAGAGGAACGGCCCTACGCGTTCCTGGCGGACCCGACGACTGAAATTATCATTTTAGCTGATATACTAGCTAATGTAAGGATGCAGTTTTATCTCTTATTATCATGGGAAACGAGATAAATCGCGATAGTGCCGTTTATTTTGACAACGGTATGCCTCCGGCAGCCAACTCGGTCGACCTCCTCACCGATGGTCGCGCGGACGCGTCGCCTACCGATTACGTCGCGACGATATTCGTTCGGGACGTCGACTTTTCGTTCTTATCGTGGACTCGCTTCGCTTTCTCGGTCCGTCGCGAACGGGATCTCCGAGTCCGGGGAGTTTCAGGTTGAAAGGTTTCCAACGTTTCGCGACCGGTCCCTCGACTCCGCCGCTCGGTTCGCCAGAATTCGAACCGCGAATCGTGCTTTTCGCTCGAGAGCCCATTCTTCGAACCTCCATCGCGTTTTCAATGCTCCGGCAGTGATCCATCCACGTCTGCCCCGGTACCCCCTTCGCCGCGGGCGCGCACCGTCCGAACGGTTACGAGTGGACGGCGCGGCCTGTCTCTATCGTCTCGTTATCGTTCGTTATCGACAACGCAGCGCGAGGCAATCTGTATTTCCTTCGTTCTCCGATAAACAATTAATTTTTCGATTTCATCCTAGATAGCCGTATCGGCGCGTAGCCGCGTCGACTCGCCGCGAAAATGGACTCGTCGCGTTCACGGATCGCGGAGGATCTCCGTGCCGGGACACGGGTCGGAGTTTCGCGCGTCCCTCGACGTCGTGTCCTCGAGCGGACGGCCGAAGCGTCCGGTTAACCCCGCGATGACGCTTTGTTTGGAAAGGTGAATCAGGGCAAGCCCCCCGGTGACGTAACGGGCGCGTTCGTTATCCGCGAGAAACGACCGGGGCGCCGCGTTCGACGCGCCTGGAATCGACGAAGCGAGGCTCCCACGGCGCGCTCGTGGGGCGGAGGCTCGCGGAGGGAAGAAATCGGAGGGAACCTCAGCGAACGGACGTCGGGAGCATCGGGAACGGGGACAGCACCGTTTCCGCGTGGTTCTCGAGCCAGCCCGTCGCGAGAGAGCGGCGGTCCGATAGTTTTTCGATGTTCGCGATAACCACCGCGCACCGGTGAATCACCGCGGAGCACCCTACCACCCTGCTCGACGCGGCGATGCGCGGGCCGTCGCAAAATGGCGTTGACAGCGATGGCTAACGCCGCGTCGCCGCGTCGCCGCGTCGCCGCGTAGCCGTCGCGCAGCGTCGCGTCGTCAGGGCGGAGGGAAGGAAGGACGATGAGAACGTGGACACCTCTCGCGCCCCCCTCTCGCGTCCCTCGGGGTCCCCTCGCACACCTCTCGAGCTCCACGCGCGACGTTATCTCGCTCGCAGCTAGCGAGCGGCCGCTCGTTATCGACGAACAAACAAACGGACCCCTCCGCGTCGACTCTTTTTCACTCGATCGCCAGGGATTCTCGACTCGTCTTACTCCTCTCTTTCGTCAGTTTTCCGTCGCTAGGGGGAAAAGAAGAGACGCGACTCGGTGAAGTACCGTCGGTGTATTCGGTTCGGTCGTTGGAGCGAGTTCGCTCGGCGAAACGTCCAATCGGGAACATTACCGCTTCGCGGAGTCTAATACCGGTGTGGAGGAAAGTATCGCGAAACCGTCTCACCGGCGAACCAGGTACGAGAACATCGACTCTCGGTTGTTTCTTCTCCGAGTTTTTCGACGGTCGTCCGTCGGTGGCTTCGAAGGAGAAAGCGTCGTGCTCGTCGCGCCGCAGCACGCGTCGCCGTGTCGCGTGCTCGCTCCGGAAGTCGAAACTTGACATTGTCGATGGGAAGTGTGGCGCGGTCCGAGTAAACATTGTTTCGTTCTTTTTCTTCCGAGACGGACGAGGTGCGCCGCCGCGCGGTACTGTTCGTCCTTTCCCCCCTTTTCCTCTTCCTGTTCTCCTCTCCCTGTTCCTCTCGGTTTTCACGTTGCTTCTCCTCCCGCGCGTTCCACCTTCGACTCGCGCGCGGTACCTTTCGTCCTCTATCCGGAACGAGCGTTTCCGTCGCGGTGTTTCTCTCGACGCGTCTCGCCCGGTCTGCTTCTCGAACGGCTCGGTCGGTGTTCGTTCCCCGCGCGGTGCCGCGTTCTCTCTCCTCCTTGGACGGATGAACGGTCGGTCGCGTGCCTCGCCAGCTATCCCCGTCCATTCGCATCGTCCCGCGACGCGAACGTCGGGCACGGGTGTCGCCGTGCCGACCGGTTCGAGGGAAACCGACGGTTTTCAAAGCGCGCACTCGTTTCAGGAATCGAGACGCGATGAAGGAGAGCCTGGTGAAGCGAGAGATGAAACGCGAGTGGGAGGAGAGTCGAGTCGACGAGAACTCGGCCAGGATCGCTGGAAGCGGGAACGCGGCGACGGTAACGGCGACAGCGATCGAAGAGCAACGGCAATCGGCCGAGAGTGGCCCTCGGACGGTGATCACGGCTAGGAGACACGTGCGAACGATTACGACCGCCGGCCACATAACCGAGAACGCGGCCGAACCCGAAGCCGACCTCGGTCCCGATTCGCCGGACGCGAACGCGATGTCGGCCAATCTGCAGCTCCAGTCCCAACATCGGCATCAGCTCCGGCAACAACCGGCCGAACAACAGCATCGACAGTCGCAGTCGCGAAATTACCGAGAAGCGGACGAGCAGGAGCAAGGGGAGCAACAAACGGCGCAGCACTTTGCGCACATCTCTCGATCGGAAGGGGATCTCGAGCAGCAGCACCAGCAACAACACCAGCAACAACACCAGCAACAACACCAGCAACAACACCAGCAACAGCACCACCGCCCCGGGGACCAACAGCGACTGCCGGTCGTCTATTTGACGAGCAACGGACAGGAAGTGAAGGTCGAGGTTTCCGGAACGGTGGAGCACGGGGGTGCGCTGTCGGTGAAAGAGTCGACGAGGTAAGTGTTTCGCTGGTGCGCGGTGCAGCTCGAGGTGTACCGGAACGTCGTTAAAGTTGCAATGATTTTCGCAAAGGTACGAGACCAACGACGGACCCGATCGAAACGAGATGGAAGGCATGTACGTTTACGCGACCGACGGTCAACAGCTACGCAGGGAGAACCACGGAATCGCGGTCCACGCGCAAGAGAGACGGGCCCATTCGTCCGCGACCCAACAGAGGTACAGTCCGCGCGAGAGCGGACAGCCGAGCGGACAGTCGAGCGGAGGAAACGGCTCGGCGGCTGGCAGGACTTACCACCACGGGTCGCCGTTGCTGGTTTCGAGCGGCGAGGAATACGAGGCGGGTACGTCGGTGACGTCGCAGTCCAGCGCGTCGGCGACGGCGGCCGCGTCGGTGGCCGGTACCAGCGTCGAAGCTGCGACCGGGGAGGGGTCCGAAACCGGGACAAGCGCGGGCACCGGGACCGGCGACGGTGCGGAGAACGCGACCGGCTCCGGGACCGTTCAACTGGGTTCCAGTGCCGCCCCGGCGTATTCTCCGCCGATCGTCGGCGACGCCGGTATGCACGGATCGACGCCGAGCGGACAACAGCAAGCGGTCCAGCAACAGCACCGGCTGGTCACCGGATACGCGGACGCCGTCGTGGAATTCGCGGCGGCCGTCGCGAACGAGAAACAAGTGTCCAGCACCTACACCACGCTGGAGACGGTAGCGATACCGCCGTCGCAAGCCGTGCAGTACGCCGCGCAGTACATCCCGAGCAGCGATACCTTCCAACAGGCTCCGACGTACGCTTACCCCAAGTCCGGGGAGCAGCTGATTCTCGCGTATCCGCCGACCGGTCATCTGAGCGCGCGCGTCGCCGCGGTAAGTATTTGGACGGGGGCGGCGGCAGCTCGCTCCAGTCGTACCCCCCGACGAGAACGTTCAATCGACTTTCTCCATTTTCGGTTTCTTCCTTGTACGGAGCAGATCCGTTCTTTCCAAAGACGCGGTCGTACCTTTGCAGACTTTGCGATCGATGATACTTATCGAACGTCGAATAGGAGATAAATCATTCGATCCTATTCTTGTTTCGCGTGGTCTGCGCGATAAGATTGCTGCAGTAAGATTTTCTCGAGTACTTCTATACGCTGACCGAGCCGCTTTCCGTTTGTCCGCACAGGTAGAATCGCCCGGTAGCAGTTACATGAAGGGCGACCCGACTCTCGCGGCCGCAGCGTCGCGCGGCGTGTCGCTTCACTACGAGCAATCGACCTCTCCGAGCCCTCAGATGACCTTGTACAGCGGCGGCAGCGGCGTGTACCCGTACGCGAAACCGACCGCGAACGCGGAGTACTGGACCACCCCGGGGACACCGTCGCCGCCCACGTTCGACGGGAATCAGAGCTACCCAGGCGTCACTGCCATCTCGATCGGGGACGCGACCAACATGCAACTGTACTCGGGCGGAGGATACAGCGTGTCGGCCGGCGCCGGGGGCGCGCCCTCGCCGTGGAGCAGTTTGCCGATTTCCGGCTCGGAGGAGAACTTTGACGGCACCATGATCACCACCGAGCCGAAAGAGTGTCCCGGTTGCGCGGGCCTGACCACCATCTGGAAAAGGGACGAGACCGGTCATTATTACTGTCAGAACTGTCTCTACGTGAAACCCAACGGAGTGAACAGACCGAGCATGAGATGCGGCAAACCGAAACAAACGGTCGCTCCGGTAATTCGATGATACGCGCTCCATTTCTTTAATTTCCTATCGTGCTCGTCTCGCCTCGCCTAGAGCGTGCGCTGTCCGTGCCGATCGCGACGCGCGCGAAAATTAGAACAACGTTATCTGTGCCCGAGCAAACACGCGTCGCGAAGATCGCGTCGATTGTTTACACACAGACCGTTCCGTTGTTTAGAGCTGTTCCGTCCCGATGCTCGGCACGACATCCGAAACGAGATCGTTCGTTTCGAGACGACGGAAGGTCCGACACCGGTGTAGTCTGACGTTCACGAATCCTTCGATCTTTCCAGACAGGCGTGCGGAAAACGGGTATGCAATGCGCGAACTGCAGAACCTGCAACACCACCCTTTGGCGGCGAAACAACAATGGCGAGCCGGTGTGCAACGCCTGTGGACTCTACTACAAGCTGCACAACGTGAGTTTCTCTTAGGAGTTTCGTTCGAAAGCGAGACAATTATTTTTCCGATCGGTTCTCTGTTTGTACAACTGCCGTCGACCTACACGCGCCTCGAAAAAACGGTAATCGGTGCAAAGTGGACCGAACCCCGGTGGCGCGCGTCGCGTGGAGGAAGGACGCGATCGAACCTCGGTTCCCCGTAGTTGACGTAGTCGACGTAGTTTGCGTAGTTGGTTCCGGGAACGCGCGTGGCGACCGGTTCGACGGCTGTTCCTTTCTTCCGTCCGTCCACTCCCGCTCTCCGAGCCGTCTCGTCCCACCTCGCACCGCGGTCCCTGCTCGCTCGGAGACGACCTGGCCCTCCGCGCCGGAAAACCTTGTTTCCCTCTCCCCGCGCGCGGAGAACAAACAAGGAATTTCCGGCGTTCGTGGTGCTCGTAACCGGAATAGAGGCTCGCGACTCGCGATCGCCGGCGTTCGACGAGAATCGCACGCGCGTTGCTCCGACTCGAGCAATTTCCGACGCACTCGCGGCGCGTACACGCTTCCGTCCTGCAACGTCCGTCCCGGCGACCGAAACCGTGGTCGCTTCGCCATCGCCGTTCCTCAATCCCGCCGTTCGTTAATCCCGCGGAGCGATCTATACCCGGCAGCTTTATCGGTCGCGATCGCGATCGCGAACGCCGATAGGCGCGTCGAATCGATGCTTTTTATCGCGTTTCGAGGAATCCAATTAAATTCGGCCCGTATCGAATCTCTGAAATTGTCGGACGTTCTCTTCGAAACAGGTAAACAGACCGCTCAGTATGAAGAAAGAGGGTATTCAGACGAGAAAGAGGAAACCCAAGAATCACTCGGGACTCGGCGGAAGTTTGGCCGGACCCAGCGGCATCCACAAGACCGAGATTAAGTCTAGCTTACTCGGTGAGTCTTCGGTGAGCAAGTTTGTCATTTAGCTTTTTCTTCGATCATTTAGCTGTTTCCCATCGGGTTCGCCTCGTACCGCGGCGCTTTATTTTCCTCGATCGATCGAGTGTACCTACAGGTCGAACAATCCTCGATCACCGACGCTACCACGTTTGCGTTTACCTACAACGTTGTCGCTCTTTCCTGCCACGATCATTCTTTTCCTCCCTGTCTCTCTATCTGTCTCTCTCTCTCTCTCTCTCTCTCTCTCTCTCTCTCTCTCTCTCTGCTTTGTACTTTCCAAGATGCGACCTC